TTCCTCCTCCTCCTCCCCTTCGTCGGTCGGGAGGTTCGAAACGGCAGGTCCGGTTCGCAGGCAAAGGCAGCTTATGTGCGCCGCCGACTCAGCACCAGACAGCCGTCCCTCGCGCGCGGTTCCGTGAAAATGGAAATCTTTTTTATGCAGACAAGGCCTTACCAACGGGGACAAGGGAGACTGGCTTATTAGCTGACGTCAGCCACCCATACCCAACCCCGAGGTGTGCACAACACCTGTTGGTTAGAACTGGCCACAGAGTTACGGGTTGTTGTGCTGTCGGTCGCGATCAGATATATTAACAATGATAGAGGGACGCGCACCGATCGCGTTACGGGACTAACCTCGGGGTTGGGTATGACTGGCTGACGACGGTTGATGAGCCAGAAATGGTCACTCCAGTCTCCCTTGTTTTTGTTGGTAATGCTATTCTGCCTCTATTACGCGCCATTGTGTGGCTGCTGGTGGGGCACAACAAGACGAGTGAGTTCTGTAACGCGATCGATGAGTGTCTCTCTGCCATCTTTTCTTATTTCTGCTGGGATATAAAATATTAAGCATCACTAAGGTGACATCGACGAGGCTGTGTTCAAACGCGGACACCTCAGTGGACAAGAAGACGATCTTCCCACGGTACGTAATGCCAGTTAGGTCGCCGAAAGTGTACATTCAGGACCCTGTTGTCGGCATTCATCGCACAACTGGACCACTGTCACCAACCCATTGTTCTGTGGTCAAAAACCTGGTCATTGGTGTGTGGACCAGGGGGTGCGGAGTGGAGCGCCAAGGCGAGGATCCGTCCGAGTCATCCACCTGCGGCCTCTCTCGTCTCCGGTCTTCTTGACTCTGTCTTGACACTGGGCTCAGGCGGAGGAGGCGGAGAGAGTGTAGGTAGATGCTACGCAAGTCTACTGGCAATATAAACCCCTGCGTAAGTCACCGTCCCTGCTCCCACAATGCAGTCTGTGGGGCACCCGGTGGACATCATCGAAATCGATGGTCGAACTGTCGTGTGTGTGTGTGTATGTGCGGTTACTGTGCTCCACATGCGCATCCACGACGACCTGCGGTAGACAACCGCTGGTCACACCACACATTCCCTCACTCTCTACCTCCTAACACCATCACCCCACCAGACATCAACCCCCACACACCTCATGCACTCAACTGCCGCCTCCCACGCAAGTGGGATGTGTGCATCTCGACTCGGTCCCCATGCGGCTTTGGCTGCACGGGTGACTTGTGTTCGAGACTATCCCGACACGTCAAGCGTCGTGGATAGGAAGGTTGCTGATAGAGGCCCGCTCTCGGTTCACGCAGTTCGTCACGTTGTGTGTGTGTTGTGTGTAGTGGCGGACTGGTGGGCTGGGGACGGGCTGAAGCAGCACCTTCCACGGCCCTCTTACGCAAGTGGGAGACACGCCGTTCTACCCCCGTTGTGTGAAATCCTGGTGTTTGTGTGTATGGGGGGCCAGGTCGTGCTGTGGCGCGCGCAGTCATGATCAGTCGACCATGTCAGCCACCGCGCCCATTCACCACTCCAGTCTACTGACCGGCTCGGACAGTGGCTGGGGTGTGGGAATGGGAAGGGAGAGTGAGGTCGACGGCTGAGCGCACTTACTCCTCACTATAAACAATCTGACGCGCTTGAAGCTATCACGGTGCGCTAAAAGCCGTGGCTTGGAAGGTTGCCAACTGACGGGGTACCTTGGACCTCCTCCTTGACCGGAGGCGGTCTGAGAGTCAGGCTGCAATGGCTCCTTTTTAATGTGGCCTTTATGGCACTCCCATCACAGTGTGGGATCCGAGCCAGGCGTTGGCGGCACGCCCAGGTGCGGCTTCGGTCGTGCCAGCCTCCAAATCTCTCTTGTGTTGGTTGAAATCCTGGTTATTGTTGTGTGGACCAGGGGGTGTGGTGGAACGCCAAGGTGAGGATCCGTCCGAGCCATCCACCTGCGGCCTCCCTCGTCTCCGGTCTTCTTGACTCTGTCTTGACACCGGGCCCAGGCGGGGGAGGAGGAGAGAGTGTAGGTAGATGCTACGCAAGTCTACCGGCACTATAAACCCCTGCGTAAGTCACCGTCCCTGCTCCCACAATGCAGTCTGTGGGGCACACGGTGGTCATCGTCGAAATCGACGGACGAACTGTGCTCCCCAAACGGGACACGTGGTAGATGTGCTGGACCAACACGGGGGCCCTATCGGATTCTGGTAGCGTTATCCGATTTGCGCGCCATAACAAATGCCAACATTTCGGGGTGCGGTGGTAGACCCGGTTGCCAGCAGACTTCGCGCACACTGGAACCGCTGTCACCCCTCACTCGTTGATGTTGGTCAAAACCTTGGTTATTTGCTGTGTGGATCAGAGGGTGTGGAGTGGAGCGCCAAGGTGAGGGCTTGGCCGTGCCATCCACCTGCGCCCTCCTCCGCCACCGGTCATCTTGACTCTGTTTTGAAACCTGGTTCAGGTGAGGGGGTGCGATAGGTGCTGCGCAAGTCTACACCCACAATAAACTTATTCACGCACAAGTCACCTTCCCTGCCTCACCATGCTGTGGAGCACACGGTGGACATCGTTGGCAGCAACGGTTGAACTGTCGAATGGCTCAATGGCTCCTTCTCATTGTGGTCTTTATGGCAATACCCCACATGTGAGACCTGAACCGTCCTCACCGGCAGCCTGCCACATTCTGCTGCCATCAGGTCGCGTGTAGCACGCGTAGACGCGCCGTTAAACTTTGTCGGCCACAGTGCACAGGCTCACTCTTGGTTGCCCCAGCAGGTCAGCAGTGCTGAGCACACTCCATGGGGCGCACAGCGGACGTCGTCGATGTCACGAGTTCTCTGCCGCCACAGTGCCAACAGGTCCTCAGCGTTGCAGTCAGCATTGATGATTACCAAATTAACAAAGTATGCACTTAAAGGTGCTCTGAACGAGTTGATTCGGACGAAATTTGCCAGAAATGGCAGAAACCACCTTCTAGCCTAGAGGCAAAAGAACAAGTGGAAATAGAATGCCGTCTTCAAAGTCAGTCCTGATGCGGGAACGTTGTACTAATGTAAACTCCGGACAGCGACCATGGGAACACCCCAGCAAACATATTCAACGTTAAGAGACAATTTGGCTAGGTATAGAATCGTTCAAGTCAGTTTGAGTGATGCTGTGAGTCGTTCGTGCCTTGCATGCTGCCGGCCGCAGTTACCAGAAATAAATGGAGGACGCACTTTTAACTTAGACATGGTATTACCGACAAAGACAAGGGTGACTAGAATGGTCAATTCTGGCTTATTGGCCAGCCATGTCCAACCCCGAAGTATGGAACACCTGGGGATCGGTCCCGCGACCCGCTGGTTAGAAGTCCAACGCCTCGGGTGTTCCACACTTCGGGGTTGGGTATGCCTGGCTGACGACGGCTAATAAGCTAGAATTGGTCATTCCAGTCTCCATTGTCTTTGTCGGTAATGTCATTCACCCTATATCATGCGCCGCTGTGCGGATGCTAGTTGCGCTCGAGAGAGAGAGAGCCCGTAAGGCACAACGGGACGAGTGAGTTCCGTAAGAACGATTGATTAGCGCCCCTCTGCCATGGTATATTCCCGATCGAAACCGACAGGGCAACGGGCTCGTGGCCCAGTGGTTAGAGGCGTGGACTTCTAACTACCAGGTCGCGAGTTCGAGCCTCGGGTGTTCCACACTTCGGGGTTGGGTATGACTGGCTGACGACGGCTAATAAGCCAGAAATGGCCCCTCCAGTCTCCCTTGTCTTTGTTGGTAATACCATTCTGCCTATATCACGCCCTACTGTGCGGGTGCTGGGTGGGCTCGAGATAGATCCCATAAGGCACAACGTAACGAGTGAGTTCTGTAAAAACGATCGGTGAGCATCCTTCTACCACTTTTAACTTACTTTACTTAGGGCAGAATGCAAGCATCTCAAGGGGAAACATTGAAATTAGAGGTTTACTTTGTCTTCATAAAATAATAAGGGGAAAGACTTCGTTGATTTTGCTATACTGGGCTGTCTACATATATGGTGGCTCATTCTTTTACACCGCACTCTTCTTGCAAAGACGGTGAACGAAAACCGCTTCTGTTCGGGTGGTACTAAAAGGGAATTTAATATTCTTAACCCTGTACTTGTTCCAAAGGTCAAGCGACGAATTTGGCATAAGTGAATTTTTCTAGCAGGTTGGCCCCGACAGTTTTATTTTCCCTACATTTTTCAAGGTATGATTCCTACAAATGACAGACTGACTTCCATACAAGGAACTTTACGGGCGTGCCGTCTATATTGCTTTTGTAAATATGTAGACGGTCAAAGTGCCCTCTATCAAAGTCAAAACGAATCCAAGGAGTAAAACAGGACTCCATAGGGATAAAAGTAGAGGTAATTACTGCCGTAACCGCCCTCTCGAGTCAAATATTGGAAGTCCGTTTGAATAGCAGTGGCAGAAGTATTTTGCTGTCAGGAGGAAGTCCATCTTTCGTCAAAACGTCACAAAACTTAAATAAAATAGAGATATTTTTTGCAAGAATTGAAGTAGACAAGGGCATTGTCAGCACAGCCCTTCTAGGCAGTTCTGACAAAAGATTTTCCAATTTTAGAATGTTACTTTGGTCATAAAAGTTTGTAAGTTTTAATTTGACCCAAGTTAAACAAGAAAACAAGACGAGCAGTTCCAAGCCGCGCAGAGGCCTCCGCTACTGTCTGAGTTAAGACAAAGATACTAATACCGTACTGCAGCTTTAATGAAAGGAGTGTGCGGCTGCATTCCTGTCTTCTTCTGGTGCAGAGTGCAGGCATGGATAGTTGTGAAAGGCGAAGTTCTGCCGGCCTGTTTGAATAACGGTGTCGGGTGCCAGTTACTGCTGCAGGCCAATTAACTTGCTAAGCATTAAATGATAACCCTGGTGTACCAAGAAGCGGGACGTCTTCTGTGGAATCACAACTACTCAAAGGCACTTAAGTAGGCACAAGTCGTGCCGAAATGCATGTCGCTTACTCTGGGATCAAGGAGGCTGTTGCCTGCAGTGGCTGGTAGTTGACAAGAAGGAGGACAGAGGTAGTTGGGGGCTCGGCGCCAGGTACCCTGCCAGTGTACCAACCTTCATCCGCCTTCAGGGTATTGCTAATACTCAGACTGGCTTCGTAGCAGGCCACGGGACTAGGCGTCAGCGCAGTTTGGAGACTGGAGTCTGTACAGTTAGTCGGCCGGACGGTTTTTGAGAACTGAAAGAGTGGAAATTACTAGAGGGATAGCATTGGATGGGTCTGAAAGACTAAAAGTGGCCCCGACTGATCCGTCGGTCCAGTCGAGAAGTCTACACCGCGAGTGACCGATCTCACGAAATGTTGGCCGTAATTCTGAAATGCGTTTTCGATTATCATGCGTATAATCCTATAATATTTCGGATTCGTTAGGATGGCGGCTTTTAAATGCACTTCTTTTGGACCTTCTGCAGAAACCACACTCGGTAAAAAATGACAACTTAAGTGGCATGCATATTTCACGTTGATCTTCGATGGTTTTATAAATGCAAGTATATTTTATAGAAAACATACGCAAAATATGCCTTATTTTGCTCGTTCGGTAGCAAATCACATTGCCTTTGCAGTTTATACTCGAAGGAAGGGTATATGTTAGCTTTGAAAAAGTTTCCTAATTCACGAATAATTTTGAGCCAGATCAGCCGTTGCATTAGCGTCTAGCGATTGCAGTCTACAAGGTGCATACTTTCCACACAAGGAAATCATATATTTCTCTATGCCTTTTAGGAAGATACCACATAAAGTTCACAAGATTTCATAATGGATGAGGAATATGTTGTGCATCTCATGAGGAGCATTGGGAAACGGTCTTAGAAATCTCATAAGTAGGAACGTTTGAAAGCGAGAGATAACCTTTCTTCGGGTATAAAGTGTGAAGACAAGGTGATTTCCTACCAAACGAATAACAGAAAGCATATTTTTGAGCATGTTTTCTAAAAAATATATTTGAATTTACAAGACCATCGAAATCAATGCGAAAAATGCATGCTGCATATGTAGTCATTTGTCGACTGTGGTTTCTGCGGAGGGTCGGAAAGAAGTGCATCCAAACGCCGACATCCTGACGAATCTGAAATACTATAGGATTATGCAGCATGATAATCAATGTTACGACCCGACCTAAGTAACTCTTCCCAATCGAAAACGCATTTCAGAATTTCGGCCAACATTTCATGAGATCGGTCAGCGTGAGAGTTATCACTAAAGAAAACCAAATCACAGGTACAAAACAAGCTGTTTGTCTAAATTTATTCTGGTAAAACTGGTAGTAAAAATCGAGAAAAACGGTAAAATGTCATTCTGCCTAGCGTTGGCGTGGGCTGTGTTCCTAGCACACCGATATTTTAACCACGCTGAAGTATTTTTGCGTCCGGCAATTTGCATACTTAAATACTCAAAGTCATTGAAGGATGACCGAATGCTCAAAAACTCAGCTCATCACATAAGAAATAATCTGGTACGGGTTTAACGCAACAGGGGGTGATTTTCATACAGCTGACCGTATTAAATGTCCGGCTGGAGGCGACAAGAGTCAACATGGTTAGTATTTGACAAAACTCGAGAGGGTGTGACTTTTTGAGAGCTGACTGCATTTCTTAGCATGCGTAAGGCCAAACAGTTGCTAACCGAATGAGAAAAGTGATCAGTACTCTAACGGTGTCACTGCTATTTACATGGGGGCTTACAAATCTAAGCCGTCTCTTCATCCACATGAGACTACTCGAGGTGTATTCATTCGTACGTGTGGTTCTGACAGAATCACGGACGGACTTTCTGAAGACGTTGGCTACAAAAAGGACAGGGGGGAGGTGCAGTCGATGTGCCCATCTCCCGCCGTCAAACCAGCTCAGTGCTCGTCGCAACCAAACCACGCACAAATTTCGTGGCCGACTTAAGGTGTACCCTCAATCATTCTCAGGGCTACTCCCACACATCCATTCGCAGAGCCACAGACTACTTGAAAGGATCAAAAAGACCTTTTCGTGAACTGCGGAGTAGGCTTAGTCAGACCAAGTAAACAGCCACAACCCCGCCACCGGCGGAGGATGCATGAGATGGCAGGCGATGCTCGGGATAATAATGACTCCAAGTGCCAATTTTTGCGTGCAGAAAGAGAGAAGGATGGGGTGTGCAGGTAGCGGGAGGGGACCGGAGTCGCCTCCCGTGGCACTTACCCGACTAACAGGGAATTCAGCCTCCAGTAGAATGGTAGGCGGAGGATTGCTGACGTCTATGCCATTGGTGGCCAGTGGAGTGAACACCCAGGCGACAGGCGGCACATCTTTACGGCTGGGCAAAGACCACAACCTGAAGGGAAAGGAGAGATGAGCAGTCTCCCCGGCGACCACGTGACGTGTGTAGGCCGTGCTGCCCTCCACGTCATCTAGATAAAAACGCAGGTAAAACATGAAATGGTGTATATGTGCATAGGCTTGGAGGGATGACATTAGGCTT